TGGGGGCCCGGGCAACCTCCGGGGAAGAGGGGGAGGGCTGGGGGGCATCGGGTGGCTGGCTCGAGCCGTGCCAAGTGCAGGGTCTGCTAGCTGGGTGCTGGCAGGCTTGCACCCGGCATGGGCATCGTAGCCAGCCCCTGCCCCTTTAAGGGGTCCGGGGCCAGGAGGGGGGCAGTAGAGTTTCCCTGGTGTTGGCTAGAGTGGCCACCAGGGAAAGCTGGGAAGGGCTAGCCTCCCACTAGTTCGAATTAAGGGGCTACACAGCCCTAGTAAGTTCGAACTAGGCTTAATCCTCGTGGAATGAAGATTATCTAGTTCGAACTAAGCACTCCGCTAGTTCAAACTAACTTTGTAGTGTAGACATACGCAGAGTTATTCCCTTGATTCAAAGGGCCAGATGCTGGTGTAGCTTCATACTTGTCCCACAGTGCAAAGCTGCTATAAAAGCAGCAAGTCTGGCCACTTGAAGATTTCCCCAGTGTGGCCGACCACAAGGTGGTATACTGATACTGTAGGAGCTTCTTTGTCAATTCCAAAATTCCCAGTACAAGGTGTTACTTGGACATGCCTACTGCCTGTGGATGCCAGCTCTTAGACTGTCCATTTGCCATTGTAAGCAGTTTGTTCAGTTTATTGCAGATCTCAGGTTTTTGCAAGTGTCTCCTCAGAACCAGCCCAAAGTTAAGTGCCCCACAATGAGGGCACACAAAGGAGACTTAAAGGCACTTTTTCCCACCCTCAAAACCTGAAATTCTGTGCCAGGCATAGAAACAATGAGCACAAGGATCTGGCCCCAAATAGTGCATTTGTCTGTGTATTGGTTTATACATTGCATTTGGTTGATTTGTTTTCTCTTTTGTGTTCCAGCTGAGATACTATGACTCTGGGGAGGACACAAGCTGTAAGGGACACATTGATCTTGCAGAAGTTGAAACAGTGATCCCTGCATCTCCAACAATTGGTGCCCCAAAGCATGCTAGTGAAAAAGCATTTTTTGATGTATGTATATCATTTGCTGGCCTCCACTAGAGAGTTTTCTTCCTTCTTGCTATCACACAGAAGTTGAAACAGTGATCCCTGCATCTCCAACAATTGGTGCCCCAAAGCATGCTAGTGAAAAAGCATTTTTTGATGTATGTATATCATTTGCTGGCCTCCACTAGAGAGTTTTCTTCCTTCTTGCTATCACAGCCATTTCTACTGGACAGTCATGTGAGAGATTTCAAGTTAACTCACTCTCTAGGGCAGTTACACAATTAACTAGTGATCCTCACTCTGAATTCAAAGTGAAAATTCAGAGCATTAGTATATTCAGGGAAAATGAAACACTTCCAGATATCATAGCTTAAAAGAAAGTTTGCAAGTTCCTGAGCTGTGTTGTGTAAATTTATTTTTTATCTGATACACTTTTATTTTCATTTTGCAGCTAAAGACAAGTAAACGTGTATATAATTTCTGTGCCCAAGATGCACAGAGCGCACAGCAATGGATGGACAAGATCCAGAGCTGTATTTCAGATGCATAACAGAGAATACTATACAACCTCCAACTGCAGACAAGAAATGCTTTCAGTCCCTCATGTTGTACGAAGATACATTTTGCTATTACAGAATAAGCAACCTTCCTTTCATTTCAGTCATAAACACTAATTATATGCTGAAGCATCTTCCCTGCTTAAGTATCATAACCACTATTACTATTCTTTTTCTCCATTAGGAGGACTTTTCAAATTAGTAACCTGTTGAGCCTGAAATATAACTTTTCAATAGCATTCCTAGCTAAATGACCTTCCTGTAGACACTGAAATATGCTACCATCTAATACTGTTTTTCTTATCACAGAGTTGCATCAGAAAAACTGTCTAGCTTAAATTGTGGACATTTTTCCTCAACTTGTTTTCATGTGGTTTTAGTATTTAAACAAAATGGTCCAAATTTTCAAGCTAGTTGTGTATCTAGAAGAACATTTCTACAATTTCTAAGAAACAATTATGTTTGTGAATTCAATGACATGCATAGTCACTTAATATGTTAAAGACCAAAAAAGAAAAACCTTAATATTTAATTTTCAAAAAAAGGTTTCTAAATCTACTAGCTGCTTTGTAGCCTATCGCTCTAAATAGTGCTTCTGCAACTTTTCATGAATAGCACGTTTTCATGAATAGCTAAAGAATATGCTTTTGGGGGATTCTTTTTGCCCATTATAATAGGATAATGGAAAGAAAACTGGCTGGAAACTAGATGAAGAAATTGGTCACAAATTAAAACTTTCATAGGAGAAAAATCTGAGTCTGAAAAGTTGTATATGTTTATTTATGTTCTGTTCTGCTCACTGTAAATGACAAACACAATGATAAATGCACTAAATAATAAAGCAAGCACTTGCACTGAAATCATTGAGATGCAGACATTTTGAGGGACAAAGGTAAGTTATTTATAGCAGACCAATGCTAGCTACATAACATTTACAGATACTAAATATGTACATAATTTGGTTTGATGTGATTTGATTCTTTAAAAAATTTTTGCACATACATTGGAAGACTGTTTTAAATTTTTACATTTAGTTAACATTGTGTTTGTTCATCTTAAAATCTTTGAGGAATGTTGTTGTTTTTTTAATATATATATAGACCAAAATTACTAGAGGTTTTATTTGCTACAACTTGTGATGGCATGCAGTGGAGTCTTTCGACAATAACCATTGTGGGTTTTTTTAATGTTCATATGGTAAATATCCAACTAATATTTCAAAGAGTTTGTATATATTATTTGGTATTTTCTAATTTTCCAGATATTCTGTTTGTAATTGTTAATATCAGACTAATCTAATAACTGACTTCATTTATAGGATTTCAATTTATTAAATAGTTTGTCCTCTTTTTTACCACTTTTTTTTTACTAAACAATATTCAAAATTCACACTGCACACAGGATAGGAAATACAGCTGTTTTAATACATATTGATTTTTTTAAAGGACTGAAGGATTTTTTTTAGCATTTTCAATGGATAAGTCTTTACCTGTGAAAATGGTGTTTGCACATTTGTATTTTTCTGTGTATATGAAGTACTTTTATATGTACTTTGTAAAATACTGATCCCACTGTTTTTAAGGTTATTTGAAAATGTACAAAACATCTTATTTTGTAACTAGGTTATTTTAATTGTTTTATGTATGTTACATGACTTATGTATGCTAACCATCTTGTAATAAACACACTTCTTTAAAAACAGCCTTTTACAGTGAAAGATTATGCAGGTATAGCATAATACTCACAGAATAAAGATCATGGCGGAAAAAACAAAATTAACTCAAGCTTCCAAATTATCTCATATTAAAATGACTGGGGTTTTGTGTATATTTGTATATTGTCTTATATAAAAAATAAATCCACATCAGCAAAAATGCCATAACCTGGGAAAATTCTCTGGCTACATCTATACTAGAGGGTTTTGCCAGCAGAGAGTATGCTAATGAAGCGCTCATTAGCATTTGTTATGCTCTCATTAGCGTATTCTCCTCTCGAGGCTTTTTGCACAAGAGGTTTTTGTTCAAAAACAAGCAGTGTAGACAGATCCATTTTGCATAAAAACTCCCTTTTGTGCTAGATCTGTAGACCTCCTTTTTTGAGGCATAAGGATCTTGCGCAAGAGGGGGTTTTTAGCATAGAGAATATGCTAATGACAGTGTGACAAATGCTAACGAGTGCTTCATTAGCATACTCTCTGCCAGCAAAACCCTCTAGTGTAGACGTAAGCCTTAGTTTACATACCTTTCCCAGAGACCAATTAGTAGGGTTACCAGGTAGACCCCCCCACAATTCCGGACACACTTGATCGGGGGGGAAGGGAAGGACCGGCCGGGAGGAGGGCGGGGTTGGCCAGGAGGAAGGGGAGCGGGAGGCAGGGCTGGTGGGGGGGTCAGGGGTCGAGCAAAACCCTCTAGTGTAGACGTAAGCCTTAGTTTACATACCTTTCCCAGAGACCAATTAGTAGGGTTACCAGGTAGACCCCCCCACAATTCCGGACACACTTGATCGGGGGGGAAGGGAAGGACCGGCCGGGAGGAGGGCGGGGTTGGCCAGGAGGAAGGGGAGCGGGAGGCAGGGCTGGTGGGGGGGTCAGGGGTCGCGGGGCTGGCTGAGAGGAAGGGGGCGGGAGGTGGGACTGGCGGGGGTCAGGGATCGTGGGGTTGGCCAGGAGGAAGGGGGCAGGGCTGGTGGGGGGGTTGGGGGCCACAGGGCTGGCAAGGAGGAAGGGGGGGTGGGAAGCGGGGATTGGTGGCT